GTGGCAGAGTACTCAGCTAGCATATGCAAGGCCCTGGGATTCAATGCCTAGCATCACAAACCAAACAAAAATAAATAAAATTCTGAAAATAAATAAATTCCTAAAAAATAATGCTACATTGTCTTCTTGCTTTTTATGTTAGCTCCGAAACATCTTTTGCTTTTTCTAAGTTTGCCTTTGTAGGTTATCTTCTGCTTTGCCTAGAAGACTTGCTGATTTTATATTTATCTCTGATAAATATGGCAGTTTTACTAAGCTATATTTCCAAGTTGATAATTCTGGGTTAATCTTCCCACGTATGCAGTGAGCCTTTCACTTTGTAAATTTTAGCTTTTGTTTCCCTTATGGAAATTTTTCTTAGATTCTATTTTTAAACATTAATTCTGTTCCACTGCTTTATTTTCCTTTTCCAGGGACTCTGATAATACATCATCTTTACTTGTCCTCCATTCTCAACACTTTCTCTCATTATACTTTTTTTCTTTATATAATTTTCAATTCTCTTGGTTGTTTTCAAGCCTTCCTTCATAGAGTCTCATTAAATTTTCATCTCAGTATCTCTCTAGGGTATCTCCTAATTTATTCACTTATAATTCTACCTTTTTCTTTTATTTCTTTCTTATACATGCCACAATCCCTTTTCCATTTCTCCTTTTCACCATCATTTTCACTTAGTTTATTTTTTCTTCCATTTAGTTTTTAAATTTCTAATTCAAGGTGTTTCTATACTCTCAAATGCTTGAGTATATTCAATTGTGTTGAGTATAGACCTAAGCTTGCTTCTGTTTCCTGGTTATTTTCTGGGAAAAGGAAATAGTTTCCCAAGTTGATCTGAATAAACACTTGTTTCCTGATTTTCTGCAGTAAATTCTCTTTGGATTTTATTTCCTCTTGTTTGTTTTAGTGCTAYTTTGGAGTTGTGGTGGTAGTTTACAAGATTCCTAATTTAATAGTATTCTTTTCTGTCAAAGTTCAGATATATAAGAATTTAGTTTTTAAAAATTGTTCATGATTGTTTTGGTTATGGGATAAGAATTGTAAAGCCTCTAATTTTGTGGTTCTTTTTTTCTTGCAGGACTCTAAAATGTCTCCTTTTCACCTTCATCTAGTATATACTAGAATATGTACTGGATCAGTAAACGGTGCTTTTTTTGGCTACAAAAGTGAGGGGGATGGGCAAAATAATATAACAGAAATTATTGTTTAAAAGTAAGGGAGTTTGCTGGGTGCAGTGATGCATGCCTTTAATTCCAGCAGCTCAGAAGTCTTGAGGCAGTAGAATCACAAGTTCAAGGCCAGCCTCAACAACTTAAGTGAGATACCATCTCAAAACACAAAATAAAAAACAGGCCGGGGGTACAGTTCAGGGGTAAACCCCTCTGGGTTCAATCTCCAGTACCAAAAAAAAGTAAGGGTGCTGAAACTTTTGGGAAACAGCTAAATTTTAATAGCACAATGTACAGTAATAATTCTCATTCTTTGACTCCTCAGAATTAAGATCTTCTGTTTTAAGTGGTCAAAAAATTTCAAAAGTATTGGAGATAGTTATTTAACTTGTTATGGATTAAGGAGGGTAGCATGTATCAAAGAATCAAATCTTTAGTAACTACATTTTTTTTCCCTTACATGCATAAATTGAGTCAAGTAGTTCTTTCATCAGATGCAAGGAATAAAAGGCACCAGAAATTTACTTACTTTAAGGTTTTTTTTTTTTTTTTGGGGGGGGGGGGGGAGAGAGGGAGAGAGAGAGAGAGAATTTTTAATATTTATTTATTTATTTTCTCGGCGGACACAACATCTTTGCTGGTATGTGGTGCTGAGGATCGAACCCGGGCCGCACGCATGCCAGGCAAGCGTGCTACCACTTGAGCCACATCCCCAGCCCTAAGGTTTTGTTTTTACATTAAGTTTTTAGTAGGGTGGGGAGGGAAGATTTACAGAAGGAGGAATAGACAAAAATTTAGGCTTTTGCAACAAGTCTAATGTTTTATAGGATTATTAAATTAACATTAGCCGGGCTTGATGGCTCATGCGTGTAATCCCAGCAGCTCAGGAGGCTGAGATAGGAGGATCTCAAGTTCAAAGCCAGCCTTAGCAAAAGAAAGGCACTAAACAACTCATTGTCTAAATAAAAAATACARAATAGGGCTGGGAATGTGGTTCAGTGGTCGAGTGTTCCTGAATTCAATCCCCAGAACCAAATTTAAAAATAATAATAATATTAGCTAAGTTTAAAACACAACAGTTTTGCAGTATGTCAAAACAATCCCAGCTAAGTACTCCACTGACAACTTTTACATTAGATGATATATATAATTTGACCCACATATCCTAAGATTGCAGGGACTGGAAGACAATGAAGGAAACCCATGTGTCCTAGCAGTAGAAAGCAATCAGAGGAATCAATGTGTTAAGTAGTCTTAACACTGCTATTTAACATGGCTTAATAAAATACTTTTAAGTCAATTAATGTGTTAATAATAGTAAAAGCATAATACTGCTTTGCTTATGATTATCRCCAACCATTCTTCTTCAATCTATCTCTAAAAATCATTTTCACAGTCATATGAAAGCTTCATTTATTYCACTGATTGTACAAATTATTGACTCCCTATTATGTGCCACAAATCTAGGACCTGGGGCAAGAGCAATAAGTGTGACAGATATAGTTTATGGAATTAGAGACTGAACCCAGGGCCTCAAGAAGGTTAAGCAAACACTATTCCACTGATCTAATCCCTGGACCTGCTTATGGAACTTTTAGGTATAGCTAAGACAAAAAATTTTAAAAGTATAGATGAGTACTGCAATAGAGAGGCATGGGGTGCTACACAAACATACAAGCAATCTAAGTATTTATTTAGCTAAGGCTTGAAGGATGAGTTGAAGTCAGCAAGATCAGGAGGGTAAGGAAGAGTAATTGTTCTACGCAAATTCCTGGAGGGAGAGAGCACATTCCAAGGAATAGAAACACAGCACAGTATAGCTGGAACACCACAGAGATAAAGATGAAAAGATCAGCAAAATCCATTCCACAGAGGCCTTTGTGAGCCACTTAAGGATTCAGAACTTTAGCCTAAGGGCATCAGAAGTTTTTAAACCAGAGAATAACACAATCAGATGTACATTTTAGACAAATCCAAYAATAGTACAGAACAACTGCAGCAAGGCAATTCAGCAGACTTAGGACAATACATGGATGAAGGAATCTGCATTCTCATGTGAGTCCCCAAAACTTTAGACATGTTAGAATTCAAGGMAATATAGACACACCAATTTCCTAAGGGAAGAAAGGGTTGTGGTGCTCTGCAAAGGAATCATATGGCTTTAGAGATGCAGTAGGTTTCAGATGGGAAAAAGGTCATGTGCATCTTGAGCCATGTGAAAGAGTAAGTGGTTGAAAATAAATCTGGCCGGACATGGTGGCTCATGTCTGCAATTCTAGTGGCTTGGGAGGATGAGGAAGGAGGATTACAAGTCAAAGYTAGCTTTAGCAACTTAGTGATGACACTGTCTCAAAATAAAAAATTTTTWAAAAAATCTGGGAAGATGGATTTGGGCGATCTGTGAAAAGCTTCAATGTCTAGATAAAAAAGTTTAAAATTTTTCACACAAAAGATGTAGAGTCACTGGCAATTCCTAAACAAACAGCATACTCAAGTGAATTATGAATAAATCAGAAGGGAAAAATGATGGGACTTAGGATGACAGAAGCCTTTCATAGTACTCCAAACATTACTAATGCAAACACTAGTATTGGATTTCAAGGAAACAGATTTGACAAAAGAAACCACGGCAGAGTTGAAATGACTGCCTAAATATTTGAGGAGACAGCAGAAATGAGGTAGGATAAAGGATGACAAAACATAGCTGAGGTGGTATAAGATCAGTGGACCATAAACTAGCAGTTACAAATTTCACTATTATACACAATTTCTCTATAGCATTATCATAAAGCAAGGCTTCTCAAGATGTGGCTGGCAGAATGGAAGTGATCTGAGACCTATTTCTATTCAATCTGAACAGAAAAGAAAAGCAAGCATTTAGAAACTTTCATTACAAGCAGAGAGTAACTTTATGTCTGTTGAATTTCATTAACAATAAACATTTGAACTTACATTTGTTTTTTTGTCTTGGGGGACTGGGATGTAGCTCAGTGGTAGAGTACTTGCCTAGCATGCATAAGGCCTTGGGTTTGATCCCCAGTACCGTTAAAACAAAAATATTTATTTTTATTGTATTTCACAAAAATATGGATCTGTCAAAGATTAAAAATTAAAAAAACAAAAACTCATTCTCTACCACAGATATTGAGACCCACTTTCAGAGTATTTAGCCTGCACCTCAAATCTAAGCAGATTAGCTACCTTTGTAAATACACAAAGTAAACACAAATTTGAAAGTGTGCTGGATATGAGGAGCTATACATTTATTATTAATTTTCTTAGGGGGAATATGACCCTGATGATGTACAAAAATGATACTTATAGGAGCTATATGCTCATGTACTTAGGGGCAAATTATCATAATGTTTGCAACTTACTGAATGGTAGAGCAAGAGAAAAAGACATATGGCTGCACCTCATTATTCACACAGCTAAAGCAAATATGGCCAAATGGTAACAATATTTGAATTTATTAAGTGGATATATGGATAATATTACTTAGTAACTTTTTAAAATTATTAATTAACTTTTCAAAATACAATGTTCAAAAAATATTTACATTAGGCTGGGGTTGTGGCTCAGCAGTGGAGCACTTGCCTAGCACTGTTCGAGTCCCTGGATTGACCCTCAGCACCACTAAAAATTAAATAAGAAAAATAAACATACTGTGTCCAACTACAACTAAAAAATAATTGTTTTTAAAAAATGTTTAAATGAATAGTACATGGACTGGTGGTGTAACTTTGTGATAGTTTGTGTGCCTAGCAGGCTCCAGGGTTCAATTCTTGACAATTAACAATAAACAATATATGACAAGAACAAAGTCATCCATACCCCAAAGTCACCAGGTCAGTATTCTCTGGAATAACTTCTGGATCCTCACCTTCTTCAAGGCATTTCAGTTTATCAAGGCTAAAACAAAAAGAAGAAAATGAAAACTTTGGGCTGGGGATGTGGCTCCAGCGGTAGCGCAATCGCCTGACATGCGTGCGGCCGGGGTTTGATCCTCAGCACCACATACAAACAAAGATATTGTGTCCACCGAAAACTAAAAAATAAATATTAAAATTCTCTTTCTCTCTCTCTCTCTCTCTCTTAAAAAAAAAAAAGAAAATGAAAACTTTAAAAAGTCACCAAAAAATCTTGTCAATAGTAATAGCATGGGGGCTAGGGATATAGCTCAGTTGATAGAATGCTTGCCTTGAATGCACAAGGCCCGAGGTTCAATCCCCAGTACCAAAGAAAGAAAGAAAGAAAGAAAGAAAGAGCACACCCCTAAATACATCACTGAATAATTAAGAAGTCAGGAAAAATCCAGCAGGCAGCTAAAAGGAAGCTGGAAATCAAGGTAATAATTTCTATGCAGATATTTTATAAGGAAAAGGACATAGACCAATTGAAGGCAATCAGTACTGTGAAGAAAGAGCTCATTACAAGTTATTTTTTATATTTTCACCTCACATAAGGAGCTTTTTGGTAATTTTTCACTAATAGCATACTCAGGAGGCTCCAACAGTCCACAGTAAGGATTTTAATACTCCTCTGATTAAGTCCCCTCCAGGCTCACCACTACTTCAGATTCTTCCACTGTCAAAGTGACTGTGGCAGACACCGGTCGCTGTTACCCAGGCTGCTTTTCTTTATTAACGAGACCTTTAAAATTGCCGAATAGAAAAATTAGTCGTTTTTGTTGCTATCTTGTTGTTCCTTTACTCTTAACTCGCAGAAACTGTATGCATTTGGATSCTGGGACTTCTCCCAGGGTTCCAAGAAGGTTCTGGAGGTTGAAAGCTTTTGCAAGGAGGTCCTTTAATCGCGGGTCTAAACGACAGGCCCTCAGCAGGCCCGAGTCCCAGGGGACCGTGAGGGCAAAGCTGCACCCTTCCTGGCCAAGATGACAAGTCCCCGACCCACACTCACCCGCAAACCATCCTTAGCTCGGCCGCTGCCTCCAGACTGCAGCCCAGATCCCGGGCCACTGCGGAATCCTCCAGGTCAGAATCAGCAGACCCCCGGCTCCCGGGCAGCGAGGATRCCGGAGGCTCCCTTAGCGACAAATCTCCGGCCCCGCGCAGACGGCCCCGCCATAGCTCCCCAAAGGCACCCACGTGGAAAGCGCGCGTGTTTAGCTCGGGAAGCTCGTACTCTGGGAAGTTGCAGCCTCCAGGGCTGGGGACCGGGCCCTGCCGGCCACCCATCCCACTGCACGTTGGGACGGCCGAACAGTCTTCAGCCATGTTCGCCGCACTCACTTCCCTGCAGAAGCCTAGCGAGCAGGACCTCGCGGAGCGTGACGGGACTTGTAGTTGCGAGCGGCGCCCGGCCGGCGAGCGGCGGCGCGGTGCGGGCGCGGCTGTAGGCACTACATTTCCCGGCGGGCTCGGCGGCCGCCCTGGGCGCGGCCTCGCCAGGCTTGGTGGGCAGGGCCCAGTGCATTGTTCTCCGCGCRGGCGGTACTGGGGACGCTAAGGATTCTCGTCGGCCTGGCGGGTCTTGTTGGTTCCCCACCCCGATGGTTACGTAGCCGATYGCTCGAATCAGGTCGTAGCTTCCTTCTGGCCCCGCCGGGTGGGTGCGGAACTTTTCCTCGACTCCGGTGTTCGCAGATTATGTTGCTGCCTTAATAGCCCTAGAGCCTGAGAGACACTGGGAGCCAGCCCTCCAGATCCTGCTCCTTCAGAACCTCCCCAAAGGCCCCATGTTCGTGCGTGTATTTATGCAGTGCTGCATATATGCACAGTAGTGCCTATGGAGTGTGGCCACCACTCCCAACTCAATGACTCCAGTAGGAGCCAACCACTAATCTGTCTTTAAAATTAATCTATTCTGGACACTTAATATAAATAGAATCATATAATAGATAGTCTTTTTGTGACTGTTTTCTTTCACTTATCAAAATACTTTCAAGGTTTATCCATGTTGTAGTATGTACATTGTTGTAGGAGACATCTGTTTTTGTCTGTCTAGCACCATTTCTCAGTCCTGACTTTCCTTACTCCTGGGGCTGCCAAGCATATAACCCTTCCTACTCTKGCCACAGTGATTGGTCAAAGGATGAGCAAGCGATTTAACTAAAGCCAATCATAATCTGGGATTTTAACCTGTTAACTAAGAAGCTCTCCCTCACCTGTTAGAACCTAAAATTGTATCCTAGACAGAACCTGTATCTTCTCGTAGAAGAGTTACAAGGAAAAGAGGCAAGAATTATATAAGCAAAGGCAGAAAGTGGAGAAAAAAGCCAAGTGACTTGGAGCTATTGCCGCTGAGACCATCTCCTCCACTATACTTTCCCATTAAGTTCTGAAGGCAAAATTTTACCTCTCCTGTCAGCTAGACTTGGGAATTAAATCGACATTAGAAGGTCTGGGAATATAACTCAGTTGGTAGAGTGCTTGCCTTGGATGCACAAGGCCCTGGGATCCATCCCCAGCACCACCAAAAAAAAAAAAAAAAAAAGACATTAGAAATATTAACAGGACAAAAACACAGGTATTGCTTAATACAAGCTTTATGTGACAAAGGAGCCTTCATTATGATAATGAAAACCCAAAGAGAGAGTTAAATGCTTATGCAATAAGATAGAATGAAGAGTAGTAAACTGTGACAAGGGAAAAGGGGCTCAGGCTAGGAGAGTTAGTTGGGTAGAGAATGACTAGGAAGATATGGGTGAGTTTAACAAGTTTGGGTTGTACAGATTTCCTTCAGCTCAATTCCCCATATTTGATTTTAAGAATGAAAATTTCTTTCTGGTATAGGAGGACATCTTTGGGTTTTTTCCTGATGGAGGAGGGCATCTTCTACATGGAAATTTTTTTTGTAGTCATAAATAATAGTTGGGTTCATCCCAACAAAATCATACATGCATTTCACATGGAAATTTCATTTTATGCTTTTAAGAAACAAGATAAGTCACAATATTCTTGCACCTACTGCTTTTCAAGTACCTTTAACTTAAAATAGTCAATATGCTAGAGAGTCACCTTTGGGAGTGGCATGTTCTTCACTGCTTCATTAGTGACTTCTTTTTTTTTTTTCTGGACAGAGATGTTTTATTTGTCAATTTTCTAATATATGTTGGGGTGAGGAAAGTGACAGTTGCAGCCACCTATGTTGTTTTCGCCAATAATCCTTTCAAAGTGGGTACACAAGAAATAAACTTCCTAAATTCTTCCATATCAAAAAATATCTTTGTTTTACCCTGGAAATCAAATGCCAATTTGGCTGGATACAGAATTCTAGGGGGAAAGTCTTTCTCCTGAAGCACTTTTATGATGTTGCTCCATTGACTTCTTGCATCCAGGGTGCCCAGTGATAAGTCGGCTGTCACTCAGATTCTTGTGCCTCTGTAGGTGATTTTTTTTTTCTCTCTAGAAGCCTTTAGGATTTTCCCTATCACTACCGTTCAAAAACTTCACCAAGATGTGCCTAGGAGTGAGTCTGYTTTTGTCAATCACGCTGGGGATC